TTGATTCACCCCTGTAATTTAACCCACCCTCCCCAACACCCTAGCATTTACTTCTTTACAACCTCATCTATAATATTTCAACAACCATGGTGACATACACATCCCCAGTCCTAGACCTACTTATACTGGTAATCCCCTCCTCTCCTACAAACCCTACCTGATCCTCACTACCTCATAAAAACACTTACAGCAGATAGTAACTTACTTCCTAAATCCATACACTTGCACATCTGCCCTCATTATCACCCCTATGCCTTCTTTCAATATGCCTATATCAACATTCCATAAATGCAGTGAAAAAATCCCTATCTTTTTTCCAAATACTGTTCACATATATGCTTCTAATCTAAAAACACTTGATCTACACATCCCTACCCATTCTAAAGCCTCCTTGCTATCTGCAATGTAAGTACTCTGAATAATTATACTTATGTTTACCTGTACCCTAAATAAACTAACACACTGTGCGGCAAGCGGCACAATATACAATTAAGAATCACTAGGAGTGTCTTGAGGATTACCCTATTAAAAATGTGATATTCTAAATAATAATATACAATAATGGACACTTTGGAGCTCATTAAATGTCGTATATTACGTTAATATCAACATTTTCATATAATCCATTATGATATTTTTTTCAAAAATATATAATACACATGCTACGTAACGATATAAAACCAGAGATACATACAACTCACAGTAGAAAAAATTAGCATAAATATGAGATACACGTAAGAACCAAACCAGACGGTTCGGTGTGGCTTGTTTACCACAACGTCTGTCTCTCTCCAATAATATAGCTTGTTATCTGTCTGTCTCTGTCTCTCTCTGTCTCTGCTCTCCTCCTCTCTCTCGCTCTTCATCGCTCTCATCACTCTCTCTCTCTCTCTTTGTCTCATCTGTGTGTCTGTGTCTGTCTCTCTGTCTCGGTCGCTCTGTCTCTCTGTCTGTCGGTTTGTCTCTCTCTCTCCTCTCTGTCTGTCTGTATCTCTCTCTCTCTCTCTCTCTCTCTTCTCACTTTTTTTTTTTTTTTTTTTTTTAATACACAGGGTTTTGACCAAGGTTAAGGATCCTAGCTTTAATTGACAAACTATTTACAGTTAAGGATTCCTAACTTTTTTGGCAAGCTAAGAGCTGTTACCTACATCAAGCTCATTTGAAAGCATTTTTATTGTTATGAGACATACAAGTAGGGAACAGGATAAAGTTTGGAGAGCCCATCTGTGGGCCAGCAATTTTTTTCATTGTCACCTGACTTTATCTCGTTGACATCATTATGCTGTTACAAATGTGTTCCATACTCGAGTCAACCTGGGAATGTAAAATTGATCTCAGATGATGAGTTCTGGAGAAGGTACAGCCAGAGTGAAGTTGCTGTTTTTTTTTGTTTTTGTTTTTTATTTTTTTTTTTTTTTTTTTCTTTCTGCCCGTCAGTGTGGCATAAAAGCTTGTTTCACACTCGTGTCCTCGTGAATGATCCAGTGTGGAATTTTGACAATATTGGCCATGTACACATACAGTAAGGCCACCCACATTCTCTCCAATGTTGAAGCTCTGCTGAAATGACAGATCTATCAGGATGGTCCAGGCGAGAGATGAGACTCTTGCTTCTGTTTCTCTACTCTTCCAGCAGCGCAGTATGCGAGGGGGGGTCCTCAGGCAAACCAAAAAATTGGAGCAAACTCAGTGTGAGATACTTGTGCCCTCGTACAGGACTTGCAACCCAACTGTTCACAGAATGCGAGATACGGCGAAGTGCTGTAAACTTCTGGCTGCCTTTGTTAGCAAGATTTACAACATGGTTCTACTTCAAGGTTAGTTTGGAGTCAAATTCAACCCCAATGATATCAACATCTTCTCCAGGTTCCAACACCCTCCCATTCATCCTTACAACTGCACCAGCATTACCATCATGGTGCCTAGAGACGATCATCATTTGCGTTTTCTCAGGTGCAAATGTTACTTGCCATCTATTTCCCCAAGCTGATATAGCTCTCAGCTGGTGATTGATGTAGCTTAGAGCAGCTGGCATTTCTTCTCTTGGATAAGTGAATGTCAGTGTAACAGTCGTCTGCATATGCATGTGATTCTGGGATGAGATGAAGAAGGTCTTGAAGTAGACATTCCATAACAATGGACCCAGCACGCTTCCTTGTGGAACACTTGCCCCAATAGGATGTCTTGCTGATTCCGTTCCATTGAGAACTACACTTAGAGATCTACCATGAAGGTAATCACTGAGGAGACATAGCGTAGAGCCTGCAATTCCCAGTGCTTGAAGTTTTGCTAAGAGGCCCTGGTGCCACACCCGGTCGAAAGCGCCAGCAATGTCCAGTGCTACCACACAGCTGACTTTGGATTCATCCAGTGACTGGTGCCACTTAGTGGAGAGGTTTAACAACAGATCAGCAGCAGAGTAACCTTTCCTGAAGCCATATGACGATCACAAAGTAGTGAGTGGTAGTCAAAAAACTCTGTCATTTGTCTTGAGATTATTGTCTCAAGGATCTTACCAGTGATTGACAGGAGTGACACTGGTCTGTAGTTGCTGATTTCTGCTCTGCTCTTCTTTTTGTGAACAGGGACTACATTTGCCTCTTTCCATAGAGAGGCCATTTACACTGTACTAGGCAGTGCTGAAAGATGCGAGTTAGAGGTGCTGCTAGCTGTCTGCACATCTTCTCAACAATCTTGGGCTCAACTTGTCTGGCCCACAGCCTTTTCTTGGTCAAGCGATTTAAGAAGGAAATGCACCTCCTCCTGCCTTATTGTCACCACTGACAGTTTTGACACAGTTCTTGCAGCTAGCCAAGGAGGGTCCCTTGCTGGATCAGGAACTTTGCATTTTGGTAGCAAAGTGTTCAGCAAAGAGGTCCGCCTTCTCTTGACTACTAGTAGAGGTGGTCCCATCCTGTCGATTTAGAGGTGGAATAAGTTCATCAGGCAGATAACCTGTCTGTCCTTGACCAGGGACCACCAGGTTTTGGAGCCTACCCTACCTGATGCTAGCTTTCTTTTAGTGTCCACCTCCCATTTAGCAATGGCCCACTTTTGAACATCACCCATATGCCTACAGGCTTGCGTGTGCAAGTTCCTGTTATAGGTGGTAGGATGTCTCTTATACCTTCGCCATGCTTTGTAAATTAGCATAGCAGCCTCTCTACAACGAAAGCCAAAACCAAGGCTGATCTGTAGGCTTCGTCACATATTGCCGGTGAGGAATGTGTTCTTGTTGTAGATTAAGGATGTGTCCAGTGAAGGCTTTCACTTGGTTGTCAACAAACCCCTTGGAGAAGAGCATTCCAATCGGTGGTGGCGAGCTCAGAGCAAAGGGCTGGCCAATTACCTCTTTCCCATAGCCAGGTTGTGCGTGTGGACTCCTCACCTCGTTCTGTTGGGATCTTAAGTGTCGTAAAAACAGCCTTGTGGTCAGACGATCCAACGTAGCCGAGGGTTGACAAGTGACTATGCCTTCTGCCAGATCACTCACTACTGGGTCAAAGGAGGAGCCAGAGATATGAGTAGGAAATCAACAAAGTTTCTCATGTCAAACACTGCAAA